ATTTATATATTTAGAAATACATTTTTAAAAATTTAACCTTTTAGACTTCTTACGGGAACAAAACAAACAAGGTATTTATCTCCCAAGAAAAAAGAAATTCAAAGTTGAGCATGAAAGATGCCAAAGGTATCTGTACCTGAGGAGGTGAAAACATTTACCTGCCAGGCTACATAACAATTTCAGCACCATCACTGACTTTAGGGTCAAGCACTGGAAAGAAGTTCCCCCTGCTAAGATAAACAAGTAATTTGCCCCCCACCCCAAACCACACAGAGTGGTGCTACCCTCTCTTTCCCACGTTCCAGGCACAAGAAAGAATTATCTGTAGCTTCTTTGCTGCTGAACACATTTGATTGCAATATAAACTCTACTTCATATTTCACTTAGAAAGTAAAATGACTATGTCAGAAGATTTTTAGTATGACAGAAACTAAGTCTAGCAAATATCAGCATCCAGCATCCAGCAAGATAATAAGGTTTTTCTGTCCAGCAAAACTTTGGGCCTTATTCACCTTTGTAATAGTTCAGTTGTTTCCCAACAGCATACAACCTGAATCTACAGCACTAAAAACATGGCTATAGAGAACTCAAAGTAAAAAACTTCACGAAAAAGTTACCTGGAAACCACCTTCATTCAACGCTCTGGCACCATAGGCAATCCTTGTTCCACCCTCCAAAGTAGGCTGTACACTAGGATGGTGCTTCCACCTCTGAAACTCCCTAAATGGATTCAAATAGGGGTTTTGATAATCTAAACCAACCTTTAAAAAAAAAAAAAAGTGCAACATTAATGAAAATAAGGTATGAAATGTCAAAAGTTTGACAAGAAAACAAATACATATTACCACATCAACTCTATTGATCAACATCTATTTTATACTAAGTCAACCTCAGGATCTTTCTACTTGGAGAAACTACTGCCAAAAATACATTTTATTAACAGTATAGCAGAAGCAAATCTGAGAATTTGCTACTATAAGACTGTTCTCTGCCCTACCTGAAACCTGAAGCATGGATAATATGTGATTGCATTGTAATCACCTTCCATCTGTCTTTGAAATAAAAAAGTGAAGTTAAATTAAGCATGGAGGATAAGCAAGATAACTTGTTTTAAATTTGTGTTTCAAAACCTTTTTGCCCTAGAAAAGCTGGAAGAAGAGGTAAACAATTATTTCTAGTTATGTCTTTGTGCTCATGTATTTTAAACAGTTCTTCACATCATTTAGCAGAGTCAATTATCATTTCCAATTAGGTGAGACATTGTAATAAAGCACAGGGGAGCAATGACGAAAGCAAAAAATGGGGGAAAAAGACATTGCCCATTGGCTGAATGCCTAGGATTCTTATGCATTTGAGAATTTGCTCAAAGATATACTCTGCATTTCCCATTTTTAATATACTCCCAAAAGAACTTATGTTGCCAAATTTTCTCTTTTGAGAAAGGGATTATTTCTGGTTCCTGTAAGTTTTATTTGAGACAAATAATAAAATATATCATGAGTCAGCAACAAACAGTACCTTGATTCCTCTGGCAGCTCACTGCTTTTACAGCACTGCTTGCATTTACTTTCCTTGCTAGATAAAGCTAATGAACAATATTCAAAATAAGTGCAAGATAATCCTACTACAAGAATCAGCTCAGACTGGCATAGGTGTAAAGTTCAAAGACAAAAAAGTGCTTCTATGTTCACACAAAAGTTGATTTTCTCCTATCGGAACTGGAGATAATATGAACATTACTGATTACCATTCTCTGTAAGAATCAAAGCTCTCTACCCTTCTAAAAACAAACAGAATTTGAATGTCTACTGTCCATACTTACTACTTCTAATACTGGAAATCTGCACAGCAGAAGTCTGAGAAAAGCTAACAAGTTTTTTCAATGTTTCTTAGAAAAACAGACACAGCTTACACACACACTCTGCAATCCTTCTGAAATATAGGAGACCAAAGGGTCACCGCAATCCTATGCTGCTAAGTCCAGACCGTGTCCCTGACTCTTACAACTTCTGTGTGTAAAGCACGTGCACAGGATAAACAGTGCATGCTTCATTTAGGACAGTAGGTGCTAGAAAGACGTTTCCTACCATTGCTCCTTGCATCGCTGCCTGGCAGAATGACACAGTCTCTCTAGTGATCTCAATGCTTCTGATACAGGCAGTAAGAAGGAAGAAGCTGCCTGTCCAATTCAGAAAGACAGTTGCAAAAGAGGGCAAGTCGAATGGGGGTGAAGAATGATAAGAACAAACTAAAAGATCTCAGAAATGGAAGGGATGCTGCTTGTGGAACTGCAGAGTGCTTCCACTTCATACACTTCTCTCATGAAGTGCATAGGCACTCCAGGTTGACACACGAATGAGGAAACTGAACTGTAAAAAGTGCACGTGATTTAGATATTTCCTTAACTTGCAAAAATTTGCAAGCACAGTTTTAATTAACAGTCTGGTTTTGGCTTGACCAAAATTTGTTTGGTTTGCAAAAAAATTTATTTGTAAGTTTTCCATTTTGCTCTTAATAAAAGACACTGGATTAAAGGCAGATTAATATGACAAATTAACCTTCCCTAATATGAGAATAAACACTCTTAAGACTGAGAAAGTACTAAATTTGGTCTATTGCTATTCTTGTGTTTTTATCTTTACATTAAAACAACGAAAAGAAACTGCATAAAAATGAAGACCAAACAAAAACAAGCAAGCATGAAAAAAACATCACTTACCACAAATCCAAGAGCAACTAAAGGTTCATGCTCATTTAAGTGATAAAGAAAGGATCCTCCATATGTATGTCTGTCTAAAGGCCAGCCTACAGTATGTTCTACTCTTCCTGGTTTCCATTTCTTTTCATCAATAGTCCATAACTGAAATGAAGATCACAAAAAAAATTACTTTCTATTGCAAAGTAACGTCCTTTCAATAACACAATAAGAGAGAAACACACAATTAAGCATAGAAGAAAATAAATTTACTGCTATGACCGATGCATAAACTCATACAGCAAAATATCAGGTAGTATAATACTTGTTTTGGATTGCCATTTAAGAATTTCCTAATACTTTTCTTTCTTGAAATGTTGTGCATCAGAAAACATGACTGAGACTCCAGCACTATACCCGAAATTTTCATTCAAACACAAGACCCTTTATGTTAGTGACTTTGGTAGATACTTCTGCTAAGGAACGCAATGCTTAAATTGACTCCTTTCTTTAAAAACTTTATTTTTTCATATGAATCACTGCAATTTCTTCACAAGTTTTGCAAGGTCAGGCTTAACAATATGTTTGAGTTGATCCAAATATTTGCTGTCAAACAGGCTGTCCTCTCTCTGCTCTCTCCTACACATCTCCAGTACTTGTCTGACCCATGATGAACTCACAGAAGCATCTTCACGCCTCTGCTAGTGACTCAATTCTCTGCTCATTTCACAAAACATGTCTTCACCATGGAGTTATGTGCCAGCTACAGTCTGATGACAGAGGGCAGTTGAGCACCATTAGATCAGCTCAAGCATGGAGGACACATTTACATTAGCTTAGATTAAGGAACACATTGTTGAACGGGACTCCTGATTCCTCCCACTTACTGTGCTTTGGTTCACAATGTACAGCAGCCATGGAAGGCATGAACTGGATTACTTTTGCATGAAACTAAACTAGACTGTCCAGAGGTCAGCCTAAAGCATTCCAGTCATGAAAGGGCACTCAGTCCATGGGACTAGACCAGAAAAAGTCCAAGGTAAAAATAACCCTGAAATTTGCATAGTATGGATATCAGCTCATCAGTACCAACTATTTCACTTTACAGATACATTCCTATTGGACTGTACTATTTTCAAAAGCAGACACAGTCTCATCTGGAAGCAAAGGAATTCTAAAGCAGCTAAACACTACTTTAATGACAATTTAGGTATTAGAAATTGTAACTAAGACTATATCATACATAAGAACATTTACAGGTTATTCTCTGCAGAAGTGTAAACTAATTACTTAACAAATATTTTGTAGCTGGAAGTACATCCTTAAAGTAATAAATAAAGAATATGTTATAGTCAAACTCTGAACATATTCTAAAATAATACAGTTCTTTTTCATGAGTCATATTTCCTGAGTATAAAATATTTCAAAAAGGAAACCTGATCCTTATCCCAATTTTATAAGCCCTGTGAAGGGAATTTTTTGGGGAAAAAAAGGTCATCCAGAAGATGAGAGCATAATTTCAGAGAGCATAAGTCATCATCTGGAACAGCCCTTTTCTCACTCATGAATATACAGAAAATCCATAGAAAGGCTTTTCTCCTCAGGTACTAAAATCCCCTAAAATTAGGCAGCATGAGTCCTTCTCTCACTTAGTAAAGGCACTGAAAACAGATTTCACAAATGAATGTAATTTAAAATCAAATTAAGACATTAACAGAGTGGATTCACAGGTACCTCTAATTATAACACATATAGAAGAAGCAGCTGAAACAAAACAGTCACGAGAGTGTCTTCTCTGATCAGCTTCAGAATAGCAAAGATTCTGAATTCTGAAAGTGTAACTCAAAACCTATCATTCTAACATCTTACATAAATTAGCTTGAAAGCAAACAGAAACTACCTTATAGCTTCACAGTATTTTCCATAACTGTTAAAATTATGCAGGTGATACCTCTTTCAGTCCAATGCCATAGCTCTGGGGTTGACATTTCTCCCTTAGATTGTATTTTTTGTACAGCTGTTTGGCTAGATGGCCATGACAACCTTCAGCGAAGACTGTGACTTTAGCATGGAGTTCCAAGCCTCTTTCAAAGGTAGGCTGCAAAAGTAGAGCATTTCATCAGTAGTTAGATCTGTGCCACACCAAACTCATGGCAAGAAACTAGAGGACAATAAAGTGATTTTACACTACTTTGTGCCGCTGCCCAGAACCTACAAACCATTGCAAGCTATGGTTTTAGTCCAGGTTTCTTTTCCACACAACCATGATGCAACCCTGGCAAATCTTGTAAGGGGATTCCAGTAGAGCAACACTACAGTGAATTGCCATTTGTTACTGAGAAAGAGAATCTCTTCCAGATCGGAGGAACATCTGCTCATTCATATGGTGCAAAGAAACCCTGACACAACAAAGAATCTTAACCTATAACTTCACACTTCAATTTTTGCTCACAAAGTCATATCACAATAAAATATTGTTCCCCCTCACACACACATATGACAGAGGCTCTAGCCTCTCTCTCTCTGTCAACAGAGACACCAGATCAGAAAAACCTGCATCACCCCTGCCCCCCAAAAAACCCACCACCTCAAAATAGTTACTATAATATTATACCAATCTTACATGTTAAAACATACAGTAGAATTAAACTAGCATTAAGTATCATTAAAAAAAAATTTCTCATCAAAAATTCCAACAATTAGATTGAGAGTAAGATAAGGGGAATCACCAGACTCACGTATGAGCATGTCACCTCCATATGTGAGCACGCTGGACGAGAATATTACTAGATTATATTTGCAATGTAAGGATAGAACATTCTAAATATACATAATCTTGCAGGGGAAAAAAGGAAAAAGCTTAATTTGAGACAGAAAGTTTAATGCTGAAAAACAGTTTTGGATGAAGATATCCAGCAGTACCCAATAAAACCATCTCAAGGTAAGCCAGCATACATCCAGGAGAAGCTTATTGCTTTGGTTTTAAATTGTCTCTCAGGTGAAATCTGCTTGTAACTTACTGGTGGGAAACCTCTGAAAAAGGCTAGCAAATGAAAACATTCCCTCTAGTCTGGAATTACCTTTTACAAGATTTTGCCAATTTTTTTGTATATTCTTTGAATTTCTGATTGTCAACCTGAAAATGAATTAACCTTACAAATTACTAAGAGAACTACAGGGACATACTATTTGACCTAGAGATTAAAAATATATACTGTCCAATTTGAAGTAGATTTATATAAACCAAACCAATTAACTACAACTCCATAGTGTAAATATCAGAAATTCATGAATTTGAAGCATTTCTGTAATGTGCAAAGCTCTATTTCACAGTTAACCTCCTTCTCCAGCCACTATACAAGGATCAATGTGCAACTTTTTACTATGTATTTTTACCACTGGCATTTTTGTTTGATTGGTGCCGACTGCAAGGTGAAACTCTATTCATTAACCACAGTCTATTTGATTAGGCTCTGTACAAACACATTGAAGATATTCTTGCCTTGAAGGTTATACAAACTACTTTTATTTACCTGAACTGTTATATGCTGGAGGTATTATCAGCTGACCTGACAGTTAAAACACTCAAATATTCAAAAAGTTTGCAGTAGTGGCACACGAATTATGTACATTAAAGAACTTAATAGACACACTCTTCCAGAATAAATGGGGCGGGGTGGGGGGGGAAATCTAGGTTTTGAGGATGCTTTTAAAAAAAAATATCATAGTTCCTTCCCATTTTGAAACAAAATTATTACCACAGCAAGTTGTATGCATTACTTGTGCCTCCTACTGGAGAAAATACATACCGGAAAATGGGAGAGTATCTATACCCTAAGGGAACAGACAATATTATTTGGGAATATTGTCTGTCTTGTAACTTAGAAACTAAATGTTACTAGGAAAATATATTACTTTTCCCTGACACCCCTTCCTCCTCCACTGGCTATATTCTCTTAAAAGAAGAATGAGCCTTTTCTTCTCATCCCCTGCCTTAAATGAGAAAAGTAGCCCACACTTTTATGTGAAAGTAAGTACTTCTTCAAAACTCCATGTAACTAGTAAGAAACCTTATAAAAGAAACTAGATATTAAGAAAACACTTGTAGCCAGAATTTCTGTTCCCAGATAATTCTGTGTGAAAGTCATTCTGAGTTTTTCTGAGATGCCAAATTCTCCCTACGTACTGCATAGGGAAGTCATGTGCTCACCACAGGTTCTGAATTCCACTAAAAATCAGCCAAAGTCTGACACTTAGGTCAGGGAGTCACCTTCTGGATACAGAAATGTGACCAACCAGCAAAAAGGTATAAAGATTCAGTGTGTACCTTGCCCCAACAAAGTAGACAGAGTGTCAGCAAATGTGACTGCAGTTGTAAATATCAAAGAGAACAGATCAGCCAGAAACACACTCAGGTTGCTAGCTACCAGCTGGACAACAGCTTTCTATTTCCCCTTAGCACCTTTTTTCTAGGAGTTCCTGGAATCCTTTCCTTTGTTTCCTGATTTCACATATGCCAAAGCACCCTTACAATATTGCCTTCAAGTCACCCTCAAACAAACCTCCTTTCTAAGAAAGGCTTTTTCTATAATCTCAGAAGTTTATAACATACTGAGACCAGAAATTTCATGGATAATCCATCCGTTTTATATATGGATAGGGAAGACAGGTACTGAATTTTATACTTTTTCTTAAGCTGCAGCAAGACTACAGTAGTAGTAGAAGCAGATACATCACAATTTCCATAATTAGACCCCTAGCAATGGGGAAGATAGCTACTTACTTTGGGTGCTCCATCCTTTTGAATGCCTACATCATTAGTTGCTATCCCTTTCACGCTACCATCTTCATGAAAAAGAACCTTTGGAAATATTTAAACAAACAGAAAAACATTTTAATAACATGTCATTTTAATCCACTTATTAGAAGTTCTAATGCAGAACTTCTAAGCACTATGTCTTTAATGGTCAAACTTGAAGATTACGTATTTGTTAACATACTGTATGATCCACTTGCACTTTGCTGGATTTGAGCCAGGGAATTTAGACACTGAAACACAGTTTTCACAATACGCTTCTGTTAAGAGGAAAGTTGTGAATGTACAAATAATCGGGAGTGGAGTGAAGGGGGTTCCAAAAACACTTTTTATATACATACTGATGTCATTATTACCTCAGATGCTGCATAGCCTGGATAGACCTCAACACCCAAAGCTTCTGCTTGTTCACCTAGCCAACTCACAAAGTGGCCCAGACGTACTATGTAATTTCCATGATTAACCATCGGAAGTCCTAGGCAAAAAAGACGCACACACACAAAACACAGAATGCTAAGCAAAATAACAGAAGTTTTATACATCAGGTGTCATACCTTCTACAGCTACTATCTTCACAGTAACATCACGCATTATCACAGCCATCACCTACATAGACCCTATCACTGTAAGCTATCATTGTTCTACATATGCTTGCTGTACTACGTGTAATCAAAATCATCTGATTCATGGAAAAGTTGAAAAAGACACAGAGAAACATGACTCCCTACCACCTCACTAAACTTTACCTGGAAGAATTGGCACTGGAATTCTAGATTTCTTTGTTAAAATTCCAAACTTGTCTTCAGTTACAGGAGTATTAAGTGGAGCCTACGTAAAAAAAAAAGAAGAACATAGAATCAGTACTGAGTGTTCTGTTTTTCTAGCCAATCCAACAAAAGCAACAACAAATAAAATAAAACAATTGAACTGGCAGTCAAGTAAAGGTTTAATACCTACTTCTGTAGGAAGGTATCACAAGAGAGAAGTAAAGTACTTTATAATGACTACTGAGGCACTAACCAGGTAAGAATCAACACAACTACTGAGGTAAAAAAAAAATGGAACAGGGCCTGGAAAATCACTTGTATAGTTTGCGTGCAGGCTTGTACTACATCAATATTCTAGACCTTTCTAAAGAAGGCAGCTCAGCTTGCATATTTAACCCAGTAAAACAAAACAACTAGTTGACGGCCTATTTCTTGCAGCTCCCAGGTGAACAGCAGGCAGCTGTTCATTTCTTGCTGTCCTCCCTCCTAAAAGCCTCTCAGGCATTCGTTACACCACTATGTCTGCACAAAAATCAGTGTACTATGCACCATTTCCTGAGACTATGAAGATCTACTGTACAGAAACAAGTCTGACATTGCTAAGACTCGACCATGTTACTGCTTGTGCACGAGAGTTGGATTCCGCACAAATGCACTAAGTGTAGCGCATCCCAGGATGCACCAGACATACTGCATATATGCAGTAAGACTGCTACATAAAAGAGAAAAGGCCATAGCATATCTCTGTAGACATAAAAGTTTAGCTTTGTCAAACTAGAGGAAACAGACTAAAAAGATTTACCTGGGGGTTTTTTTGTTTTGTTAGATCAACGTATTTTAAAATGGTATTAAGTACCAATGGTACCAAGGCACTAAGTCATACCAGAATGAGTCAGATATGGTGTTCATTACAAGCTAGGGATTAATTCCAGTGTTTATATGCTCATACATACCCCCCGCTCCTTCCAGTCCGGAAAGAGTTCTTGTAAGGACCTTGGCTCAAGACAAGCACCAGACAGTGTATGCGCACCAATCTGAGAAGCCTTTTCCACCAGACAAACACGTATTTCTTTGCTATGCTCAGCGGCTAACTGTTTCAGCCGAATAGCTGCAGAAAGACCCGCAGGGCCTGCTCCAACAATGACAACATCAGCTTCCTCTGCAAATCTTTCCATGTTTACCCCTTTAATAGAAAAAAAAGATAACAATATAAACCGATCTCTAATTACCCCCAGCCTCTCTCTCACTAAACCTTTCTTTGTGATACTGGCCACTGGGTATCCCAGGAGTATTACTTTGCATAAAAGGAGGCTAAATATTCAATAGACTCCTTACTTCAATACTTTTAAGAGTGCAGAAGAACATTAGCATCCCAGTGTAAAATTAGCTCTTTTTAAGTTGTAAGGAGATATACCATAAAAACCTATACTCAATCTCTATACACCATAAATAGGTATCACCTTAGGACGTTAAACTTAAGAGCCCAGTTGGCTAGCTGTATCAAAGACACTCAGTGAAACTCTAGGTAAGGCAGAAAGAAAAGAAAAAAGGCCCTTAGTCAGAACATGTGACTTTATTTTACACTAATTAATCAGTGCCTTTTATGGAATTGAAGCCATTAAAATTGCTGAATGTAGAGACTGGAATGTCCAGACATATAAATTAATCTTCTTTTCTCACAAACTCTCATGGTCAGAACAACTGAAAGAATCCAACAGATACACACCTGACAGAATTAAATCTTGTTGTGATAGTCACTAAAGCAAAAGCAGCTTATATATTTGCTTTAAATAACTAGGATCAAGTTTAATCTGATCCCATTTTATAGCACTAACGACACCCATTGTGAGATAGCAACCACAAAATTTAATTAATATTGGTACTGTATTTAGGAGTAGAGAATTTCTGTAAAAAGAAAAAAATCAGCAACACATTTCAGTGTCTTTAAAACTGAGCAATAAATTAAATAAATGAATAAGCTTTTAAAGAATGCATTTTTTTCGCTTACCTTCCCATCGTTTGTCTTTGTCCCGAGGATGAATTGTATAATGCGTAGTTATGCGAGGCACAGAGGCAGTAGATGCACATCTCGCGATATGCAGTGGTGGAAGGCAGTCTCTCTTTATCAACTTTATAGCATGAAAGCACTGACGTGCTACAAAAACACGAAACAAATTTGTCAAATCAGTAATTTTCCAAATTTTTTGACTTTTCAGAGACGTAGGTGGCACAACAAATGTAACAGCCCCCACCCCCAAGATTATCAGGTGATGTGAAGATGAGGAACCATAAACACAGATTTTTAAATTTTCAAGTTAGGAATGCGCTGCATAATTTTATATCAGGGGAAAAACAAAATAAAAAGAGTAAAGAGCTTCCCTTCAAGCATTCTTCACATAATACCACTCAATACCTTGGTCAGCCATTTCTGACAGCTGGTGTAAGATAACATGCATGTACACAGGTGAAACACATTTTAAGTTCCTATTCCATTTTGAACTTCAAAAGATTTATTTTAGACTTCATTAAAAGTGATCAAACAACTGCAGAGATAGGACATGCAATTTCATCCCTTCTGACATCTCAACACATGTTGAGACACACAGTTTGGGCTACTGATACTAGACAGTTCATCTAAATGTAATGGTCTACAATAAAAGCTCAGACTTAAACCCAAGTATACTTTAGCCAACTGTATCTAGGAACAGTAGATACAGTTAAACTTTACCTTTGCTGTGATACGTTACATTAATTGTTGCAAGAACAAATTAAAATTTCTTCTTAAGCAAATCTAACAAATGAAAGTTTAAAACGATCAGAATAACAGCCCTTATGAGTCCAACATGTTGCATTCTTGTTCTAGTTTTCATAATTTTTTTTGTGAAAGAGGAAGATATGTGCGATCTGTACTCAGAAAATTAGTATGGTTAGCAGCAAAACTAGTTATAGTTAAAAGGTCTGAGAACTAATGCACCTTGGCAAGTATTCTTCCTTCCTTTAAGGATTCCCCTTCCCTAATATCAGGGGTGAAGAAGCAGTAGAGTATTTCTGCAAAACTACATAAGTAAAATCACCAACATCCTACAACTGAAATGTTTTGTTGAGAATGGTGATTGGCAAGGTCAGCACCAACATCCTCCATTATAACTCTGCACGGTGACAGTCAGGACACTAGTCTCTATATGCAAGGTAGTAAGTATTATCTATGTTGGTGTCTTAACAGCAATTTTATACCTAACCAACATAACTTAAAAGCTATTATCACACCATCTCATGACTCTTAATTATCCTTTACCTGCAACCAGGCAGGATCTGAGAACAAGCAGTGTATTTTGTAAGCATGACAACAACTACACTTATACATAGATATTAAAACATGACACCTTAACTTAATTTTCGAGATACTTTTATTTGAGCAGAACTGATGGTACTATGAATTACATACTACAGTTATTTCACACACACGCGAGAGAAGGGAAATTCAGCTCAGAATACGCCTGACAAAGGGAGGCCCAAACCCTGCACAGGCAGATTCTTCCCAGCGAGTGAACTGAACTCGTGCTACCACGCTACCGAGAGCTTACAGCCTCGGTAACGTCATGTGAAACGTCTGCACGAAGCATCGCATGCAATCTCCAAAAAGAAACCTTACTCTCCCGCAGCTCTTTAGTAACTGCTGTCAGCATGCTGCCTCTACGATTATTTCGTCAGTAAGGGCACACATGCAACTGCTTTATTTTATCCTTTAAAACAGGTAACACGTAGTATCACTCCAAATAAACCTTACATCGTTTATGCACGACGTTACAGAAAAATAAAAGACACTACTAACACACAGGTCAGACTCGGCCAGCGCTCACGCACAGCTCTGCCCTCCCCTTCAGAAGCACCATCAGGGG